AACACAAGTACCGATTCAACCACGAGTCACTTTACCAAGGATATCTGCACGTCCTGTTACTAGTACACCACCAACCGCTTCGACTTTGCCTATAAATAGTTCTAGTACAAATACAAATGGGAATGTCCCATCATCGTCTACAAATACAAATGCAAGTGCTACATCTTCTATGCAAACGAATGCAAGTATCACATCATCTGCAAGCACTAGCGGTACATCTTCTACATCTTCTTCCACAAATTTGAATACTAGTACACCAAAAGTTCCACCACAAGCTACGCCGCAACTCACTGCGTTCATGCAAACAGTACTTCAATCTGTTAATCCAACACAAATATTGGCCATCCAAGAACATTTACGCCATCCCCAGGTGGCAGCTCACATGTCTATAGAGCAAAAGAACGCGTTGATCAGTCAGTTAACGATAATCCATCAGTTATTAACATCAACACAATTAGCTCAACAGAAATCTCAACAGCAAACAGTTCATTCGCGAACACAATCTCCTGCGATGAGAGTTAGACAAGTTGTTAAGCACGAGGTTCTGTTGGAGTTTAAGGAAACTAAAAATGATAAATGGTTGTTTCCAAAGGATGCAATCTTGGAAGCATTGTCAATGTCTGAACCCTATGATGTAAGGATCACTTATGTTTCTTTAGAGTTTTAAATGTCGTAAATGATTGTTAAGATTTTTGACCAAGAATATCCTTTATAAGGTACTTGCTTCATTTTATCTTCCTCAAAACGAAGATACATCTGGATCCAAACAGCAACATCAGCCTGTCACGATGCATATGACTAATATAACGCAACCGATGTTGGATGCATTAAAAAAAGCAACGAATGATGTAACTACTGTCTTCAAATCAATGGCCGCAAAGGTAAGCAGACTTTGGTAGAATTTAATACTTTATATGAATATTTAAAATGTAATGTTTAATCAAATATAGGTGAACAAGCAACCTAATCGTGTTTACTTACAATACTGTTTACCCTGTGATTATCCGGAAGACTTACTAGAGGTAAGTTTAATATGTTCTACTGACACATATTGTTAATGAAAACTGTTATAACATTGATTTATTAATTACAGGCAATTGGACAAAAAGTTGCTAAATTGGACGGAACCACGATCGTCGATAACATAACTCCACCAAAGGAAAAGAAACGTAAGCTTGATAAAGAGAAAGAGAAAGATACTGATATAGAAATAGACATAGAAGACATAAAAGATAACGAGATAGATGTCATGGATTATGTAAGAAATTCACACAAATTTTATGATCTTATGTTTGATGATATAATGTATATTTATAAAGACAGAAACTTATAACTTAGGTAGAGCCTGCGACTAAAAAGCAAAAGCCTAGAAACGGTGAAGGTAGCAAAGCAGCGTCAAGAGCATCAACTGCTCCAAAAAAGGCAAAAACAGTTCCTGATGTTGCTTCTGTAACTCCTGTTCCAACTTCTGGATCCAGCGGAGGTAACAAACGGTGTGCTTATTGTTTTTGTAAGAGTACTCCTATGTGGAGAAGAGGTCCGGATGGTGCTGGTAAGCATATATGTGTCATACAGTACAGAAAAAAAACATGACAAAAATTTTAAGGGTGATCCTGAATCCAATACACATGTGTTAACTCTTAATAATTTCTTTAACAATTTGACGATGTTATATAAATTTCAAACGTATAATATATATTTATAGGGACTCTTTGCAATGCCTGTGG